TAGTGGTGAAGGACAAGGGAGATCATTCGAACAGTCAGGGTGGGATGGAGGAGGGAAAGCAGTACCAAGCAATGAATTGTTGGGCCTAATTTTTACACGCTTATAAGACGAGGCATGAGAGAGAACGTTGTCCACCCCACTTGTGCACCACAAAGGAGGCTGAATTTGATGCGCTTTACCCACCAAAGTGTCCACAAGTTTCTAAAACTGTTTTTGCCAATTTCGGTGGTCAGTTCAGTATAGTTTCATAAATTTTGCACTGTAATATTAGATAACTAGGAGCATTGTAAAGGGAATTTTAAAGGCTATGCATGCTACTTGAGGGAACAAGAGGATGCGTTGGGCAGTTGAAGGTGGTGCAGTGAGTAAATGTGGAAAAAATGCCCAAGCAAACACCCTGAGCATGCGTCACTACGAACGACTCTGGCGCAAAGGGAGAGGAGGAGGAGGAGAGAGAGGAGGACAACATCAGACACGACAAGGCGGTGGCGACGACGAGGACGACGTTGATAAATGGCAAGTCATCAGCAAAGCATGCAAATTACGTCGTCTTCTTCGCATGGATGAGCGGTGTGCAACCCCAGGACTCCACAATTCCCCATTCCTACTGTTCACACGTTGGCTTCGGTGCTGTCCGTTCCAACTAGTCGAGGTCATTTCACTGATATCATCATCATCATCATCGCCATCATGTAGGATGTGGGATGAGTGTAGGAGGAAGAAAAGGTGAGTTCTATGACTTCTTGAGCGAGTGGATTTTTGACCCAGCGTTGGCACTGTTTGGCTGGCCAATAGGCGATGAGAGAGACGAAGTGCCGCCTCCTTGGAGAGATAGGCCTTCACCCGACTCCCACATGTCTCTTTCCTCTCCCCATTGTTGTCAGGAGAGGTATTGGCCCCACTGCTTCTGAAGGCCTCAGCTAAGCGAGTCTGTAACTTCTGTGACAGCTCTATGAGATCAGGCATGTCACGAAGGTAGTGAAAGCTAGATTGGTTGGCAGCATCCTGCTCATGCTGATGGAGCGGCTCAAAGGTCGTTGGATTAGATGGTGAGTCCGTGAAGAACGTGAAGACTACTTTGTAAGAGGGGAAGAAAGGACGTGCAAATATGCACCCTCACACCAAGTGAACGGGAAGCACGACCATTGCTTAGGCGTGCATAACACCACAAGAGTAGCTGGTTAAGCGAAGTTTACGAGACTTACAGCCTTTGTCCCCAACGTAGCTATCGGATTTGAACTAAAAATGCATAAAAGAGGGTGGTAGTAGCAACAACAGTAGATTATAACTTCAGTTGGAAGGATGGCTACCAGAATGAGCTATTAATGCCAGTCGTGTGAGCACGAAGAAAGTGTTGTCGTGTTCACCTCACTTGCTACGTAGCAGGAAAGTGGTGCATCGTATAAAGGTGAGATGAACGTGCATGTCTGGGTAGAGGGGTAGTAGTCTCCTCTATTCTTGATGGCGGAAGAGAGGACAAAGAGAGAACGTACCTTCGGCGAGGTAAGTGGCTCAACCAACTGCTTGGGGGATGTGGGAAGTGAGGTAGCGTTGGAGGCGGACGTAACTCTACGAGGCGTCGTCGAGGATTGGGTCACCACAGATCTCCGTTTGGGCAGAAGGTGATAGTGAGTATGCGCCATCTCCAACAGGCAGAAAGAGGAGCAGACACCGCCATGACTGACACGATCCCGTTCTGCCTGCGAGGTGAAGAGGTCACGAAGAGCCTGCGCCAGTCCTGTGGCAGACACCACATCACCACGCGAATCAATGAAGGTGGTGATGAGAGGACGACAACTTTGTCGTATGCCCACACCGATTTGAGTGAAGAGCCAAACGTACGCCTTGTATTGCTCCCAAGAGTCGAGACACTGGACGAATGCAAGGCCGAAAACACTTATCCTCCTCACTACTACCACCTCACACGTCAGTTTCATTATCTACTTTTGTTACTTTAAAAATTACTATCCCAACTGTCTCCATTCTTCCCTCCTGCTTTCTTGTTCATACATGAAGAGGCAAAAGTAGTTGTGACGATAGATTAGTACAATCATCCTCATATTTCATGCGTTTGACAAGCCTCTCTCAAAGCACACAGTAGTAAGGCCATACTGCTCACCACATCGGGAATGTGACTTTGGCCATTGGGAGGAGGATGACCGACATTCATGTTGACAAGAGCCAAAGCTGAATTACGATACACCTCCTCCTCCATCAGTTTTTGCAAACGTCGTCGAGCAAACATTCCAGGTTGATTGCCTCTTCGAATTGTTGTGATGCATTCACCTATGAATCGTCGATTGGCCGATCTAAAAGAATCAGTAGCAGGACTTTGAGGATGACAGGATTTTTTAAGGGTCAAAGGACAATGCGATCCTCCTCTTACAACACACACACACACACACACACACACACACACACA